ATTTTTTTAAAGAAAGTTTGGAGCTCATGATTATTCTTACCCATTCAAATGTGAATGTTGAATACGTATTGATGTTATTAATAAATCTATCGTTGCAGTAATCTGCAAGAAATCAAAGGAAAAGCTGAGCACACATTGAAAACGGCAAATGAATGGCAACATGAACAACAACGGCGTGATGAATTGATAAATAAAAAAATTGCCATGCAATCGGAACACATCAGGTGCAGAAGTCAAAGAGCCCATTGTCGATTTTTTGTTTTGTTCGCTTTTATTCGTTTGCTTATGTGCATTTCTGTTATTTTATATTTAGCACATTGTTAGAGGATCGAAATGCGTTGATTGCCAAGAACCATGAAATGTTACGCGATATGTTCATTCTCAAGCAAAAATTGGAGGATTATAAATGCGTTTTACCCAAGTGAGTAACAACGACTAACAACGTAACGATGGTAAAATTATTCTTTTACTATTTCTGTTGGCATTTTTCGATAAAACTGTTTGATCAAATGTTATTGTCTTTTTCACCCGGTATGTGTAGCACTAGATTTTCGGACATGATGAGTAGCTTCTCGCTAAACAGACCCATTCTTCGTTATCGCAGTGATCCTCAAATAAATGATGTGAGTCAGAATTACAATTTTCGACAAAAGTAAAACATAAGTTTTAATTCATAAAATTTTCAAGGAAATATTCAAACGTTTTTTTTTATTGTAAAATGAACTTTCATTTAGTTTGAGGACTATCAACAAAGGCTAGACTATAGTATTCAACGGATGACAAAAAATTTGCAAAGAACTCGATCGTTCTGGGAGAATGGAATAAGAAATTCAATTCAAACTAAACCCAAACCGGACAACACAATCATCGACGAAGACAGCATCGATAACTCCCCTCGTCTCGAAGTATCGTTACAATAGTTTTACTGAGCCAAACATTTTTTTCTAAACTTAGTTAATATCAAAACAGCTAGTTGAAAAATAACGTTGAAAATAAATTTGGATTAAAAAGTTAAAGTCTGCATTTTTATAATATAATAAATTTTTGTCCCGATTACACTCCTCCCCCAACCGAACCCCGGGAGGTAGAGATCTGTTAACGCTTTTGGGATAGCATCTACTTTTGACAAAACTCCCTTCTTACCAATAATAACCTTCATTTTATGAATTGTGTACGCTGTTAATATCTTAGGTGAATAAAGTTTCTCGAGAAAAACATGTTTTCTAAAGTGAATAAATTCCATAGAATTATAACAAAACATCTTTTTACTTTTCCGCACACACCGAGTGTGTAAGGGGAAAGTATTGCAATGGGTCAAAATTTACGACATCTCAAAAACATGTCTTCTGGACGTTTCTGAGGTCAGAGAACCCGAATCAGGCCGTTTTGAGCATGGTTGTTGTGGGTTTGTTCCACGTCGTACGTCGTACGTTGTCCGCCGTACGCAAAATTTGTCCATCGATTATCTCACTCCCCAGAAAAGTTATTTAAAATCTGACTGTACAGGATGATTGGGGGTCGTGAGGAATAGAAAACATTAGATTTTGAGCAACTCTGGTTGATGAAAAAAAATTTCATGCCTGGAGTGATACTTATGAAAACGAGTCCAATTTTCATCCAAAAGTCATACTTAATGTAGACTTAAACACTCAAAAATATGTATTGGGGGGCACGAGAAAACCGAATCCGAGGTTAGTTTTGAGATACAATCAATTTTTGATACAGTTTCCTTGAAAAAATCACAAAAAAAATGAATTTTTGTATGGGATCCATGCCTGTATGCTACCTTAATGACGTGAAACTTTGCACAGACTATTTTTTACACAAAAAATAACATTCTGAAAGTTTGAAGAGATTTCAATTAATATTTGGGGTACCTCCCATACAAAATTTTCATTTTGGTTGAAATTTCTCCAAACCCTCCGCAAAGTTTCACACCATTAAGGTAGCATACAGACATGGCTCTCATACAAAAATCCAAATTTTTTGTGACTTTAGTTATGAAAAGTGTTTCCAAAATAATTTTTATGGCAAAATTAAAGTCAGACATATTTTTTATAGTATTTTGTTAGAAAATAGAATAATTTCAAATGTCGTACAAATGGGTTCATCATGAAAGTTTGAAAAATCTTTTGCGAGTACTTCTGCTATTAAATTAAAGAATATTTCGATGCGAAGGTTTGAACATATTTTTTGGTCTCGAACTTTACGTCGCTTGAATGGCTTGAAAAAACGAACAAATAATATTTTGAACTTGCTTAATAAAATACACATCACCGTGCGGAAAAGTTCGTCTTACTCCCGTATGGCTGGCTCATTCTGATATTCCAATAAAATCGTTACTACTCTGCATATTTTGCGTAAAACTCTGGCAAATATGGGATTATAAGAAAATTCTAGTTTTAAACAGTTTATTTGTTTAAAATACACGTGGAAATTTTGCTATACAATAGTCTGTCTAAGCATCTGTCTAGACCCACAAGTGTTTTAATAACATTCGATATTTTAAAAAATTCCAAGTTTTGAATAATTTTGCGTTGGTTTGCGCCATGTAACGTGTTAAAACTCATATTTCTTTTCTATAAAAACCGTACACCTGAAGGTAAAGTTATCATAGTAAATTCGTATTTCAAGATGAAGACTGTCGGAGGAATTATTTTGTTCGGTTTAGTTGTAAGTGCTCAATATTTTGTAAAAAGAAACAGAATTTTTTTGAGTGAATTTATTTGTTGTATAAAATGTCATTTCGACCAAATTTGCCGATAAAAATAAACGAATCATACCGCTTTTTCTAGAATGATAAAAATAGCATCTAAATAAAGAGTCTTACGGGAGTAAGACGAACTTTTCCGCACGCTGGTAGTTGCGTATTTTATTAAGAAAGTTCAAAATAATATTTGTTCGATTTTTCAAGTCTTTCAAGCGGCGTAAAGTTCGAGACCAAAAAATATGTTTCAACTTATATTCTATTCTTTAACTTAATAGCAGAAGTACCCGAAAAGATTTTTCACACTTTCATGATGAAACCATTTGTACGACATTTAAAAGTGTTCTATTTTCTAACAAAATACTATAAAAATATATCTGACGTTAATTTTGCCATAAAAATTATTTTTGAAACACTTTTCATAACTAAAGTCACAGAAATTTTGGATTTGTGTATGGGAGCCATGTCTGTATTCTACCTTAATGGCGTGAAACTTTGCACAGGTTATTTTTTTTACAAATAACATTCGGAGGGTTTGGAGAAATGTCAACTAAAATTAAGAGTACCTCCCATACAAAATATTCGTTTTTGAGCCAATTGAAAATTTTGTATGGGAGGTACCCCTAATTTTAATTGAAATCTCTTAAAATTTTCAGAATGTTATATTTTTGTGTAAAAAATAGTCTGTGCAAAGTTTCACGTCATTAAGGTAGCATACAGGCATGGCTCCCATACAAAAATCCAAATTTTTTGTGATTTTTTCAAGGAAACTGTATTAAAAATTGATTGTATCTCAAAACTAACGTCGGATTCGGTTTTCTCGTGCCAAAAAACCCCCCAATACATATTTTTGAGTGTTTAAGTCTACATTAAGTATGACTTTTGGACGAAAATTGGACTCTTTTTCATAGGTATCACTCCAGGCATGGAATTTTTTTTCCATCAACCAAAGTCGCTCAAAATCTGATGATTTCTATTCCTGGGGACCC